ATCCTGTGTCTCAAGTGTATGTCGAGCGAGTCAAAGTGTTCTGTGCGATGATGTGATGTATAGTGTTGTATAATTGTTGTATAAAGAGAACTTTGTACATTTGTACCGTTGGGAATGTGTGGTGGAGTGTTGTACTCATGTGCTTGTGGTTATATTCCATGTGTTGTGGAATTGAACTACAATGTAAGATTGTTTTGCGTGATATATTGTGAATGTGACGTGTCACGAGCGACGGATTGTGTTACAGTCTGTGAGAGTGTGTGGTGACTGTTCGCGCTCGTTTGTGTGGTTTGAATATTATGAGATAATATTCTTAAAGTGGGGGGGCAGTGTCACAGAACGAGCGCTAAAAAAAGAGCGCGCCGCCAAATCCTTGCGACAACGGGCAGCAGAAACGCCGGGAGGTAAAAAGAAAAAAAAAAGAAAGCAAACATCCAAGGCTCCCGGGCGCGCGCTCTCCCCGCAGAAGCATGGCTTCGCGGACGATCCTCCTCACCCGACATCGGCGGCCCAGCAAGACCGCGACTTTTTTAGAACGAAGGAGGCGGGGTCAGACCGAGTGAATCATCTTCCGGAGAGGGCAGTCGAACCGTCTCGTGCCTCTCCCCAGCCTTCGCTGCGCGTCGCGCCGACGAAATGAGGAGAACGTTCTGGAAGGTGGCGCGGAACGTATTTAATCGAGCAGCCGAGACGAGAAAGCAGGAGGTGACGGAGGTTAACGCCAGAGCGCGTAGGGATTCCGCCGTGTAGTCGGCGAAGGTTTCGTTCGTAGTAACGAAGCAGGAGATAGAGAGGAATTCCACCTGAGGGGTGAAGGCTCGGCTACAGGCAAGAGCGTGGGTTTACCGCTATCGAGCGAAGACGCGGGCAACAGCTGCGTGTGTGAAGCCGACGGATTTCCGGCGAAGAAGTTTGAAGCTTGGAGAGTGGCCTATTGAAGACGGGAGGTTTCCTGGAAGAGAAACTCCGGCGAGGTTTCCTGGAAGAGAAACTTCGAGGGCTGCGGAACGACAACAACGCGGGACTTTGAGTGAGTGATTCTCGGAAGAGTATCATCTAGACTTTGGTTCCAAGAACTTTGGACTGAATAGGTTTTCTATCTCTTTAGTCTTTAAGTGTCTTGGTTGTTCAATGCATGCGACTGCATTGTAGTGCGTATTGTTGTCCGTGTCCGTTGTTTCAAGTGTGGCTGATTGTATTGTGTAGTACGTTGATTGATTGGGTTGATTGGTGACATATTGTATGCAACTATTGTGGAGTGTGCATTTTTGTGTATTGTTTTCGATCTGCCATTATTGAGAATATAATTTGTTTGTTTATCAACTCTCGGCTCTGACTTGTTCTTTGGGCCACAGCCGGCGTCCGCTGGCGCGCCAAAAAGGACCACTTCTAAATTGTCCACGCTTTCGTGGTGCGGTTCGGGGGGCCGATAGTTCGGCTCTTGGAATTAGCCCGGCGATCGCCTCCCTAATAAACGGGACAGGTGTGACAAATGGTTGTGGCAAGGTCTGAAGGAGCAACTCCTATAAAGTAGCAACCTTGATACTCTCTTTCCTCCTAAACTTCTTAGAGTGTGCAGTTCGCAAAGAATTTCGCGTCTAGTGAAATATCGTACGGACTGAAGCATTCTGTTGAAAAGCACCTACGTTTACGTCTTTCTTCGTCCCCTCCCCCTCCTTTGCTTGGTAGTGTTTGCTGTCGGACATAAAGGTTGCTGACACGAGCAGCCAGACAGGGACGAAAAAAAAACAAACTCCCAAGCATTTCCCCGAGGGTGAACAGGGTTAAGTGCGAATGCACGGGGTGTTGCTATGAGGGGTATTTATTAATTCGCACTATTATATTTATTAATCACACTATGGTGTCTTTATGGTGCAATGGTTTCTGGGAATCGCAATTTGATCACACGGGGGAGTTTACGTTAACTCACTGGCGAATGCCAACAAATTTCAACTTTACTCCCCCTCATAGCATGCGAGCCCCGGACCAGCAAAGTCCAGGGCTCGCACCATCTCCCGCACGGCACGTTCACTGGCTCGAACGGCTTCGGGAACGTCCACTCGCCGTTGACGATTGCGAGCGGCGTCTTGACGCCGGCCTTCATCGCCCTTCTCCGCCTGACGCTTGCGTTGTCGTTCCGCTTCTTAGGCCGCGTTCTTGGCTCGATGCTGACGCCTCATCTCGGCCTCGCGAGCGCGCAGTTCACCATCCGCTGCACGCTTCGCCCGCTTGTCCTCGGCCTCGCGAGCGCGAAGTTCGGCATCCTCTGCACGCTTCGCCCGCTTGCACTCGGCCTCGCGAGCACGCAGTTCGGCATCCGCTGCACGCTTCGCCAGTTTACGTTCGGTCTCGCGAGCCCTTCGCAGCGCCACCTTGTCTTCCAACGTCGGCGAAACCACCGCGGTACCGTCACCTCCAACGACGGGTGTAGTGCTGGCATTCGGTTGTACTGCATTCGTTGTTGATGGTAGCGTTGCCTCCGGGACATCCATCGCACGACCCGCTCTCGACGGGAGACTGAGAGAGAAGGCGGGCGCGCGAGAGAGAGGGATACGCGCGCAGCTGCAGTGAGCGAGGAGAGCGGAGCAGCGAGCGAATGGGGGTATCAGCGTCGCGTCCGTGGCTTATTCGGTAGGGATTCGCTCGCAGGATTTCAAGCTGGACGGTTGTGCCCTCGCGATCTCCGACGCCAGCGTAGTGCCCGCCGACTGGTTCGCCCTCCGCGGTCTCCTGACGCCGTGCAGCTATCGCATTGTGGCGCCCCACCCTTGGACTGCTTCGACCGGATCCCCACTTTCCTATCTCCTTCTTTTTTCCGTCGCTTGCCTGTATACTTCTTCGTCTATTTTCCTTCTATTCTTTTTATCCCTCCCCCCACCCGTAAGGCACTGCGTCGTGTCGCCTGAAGGCAGACAGAAATTAGGTGCCTTTTTCCTCTTCCTTCTAACCACTACCACCACCACCTATTCGGTAGAGCGTCGCGCTGCGGCCCGCCAAGTCCTCTTTTAAGAGCGAATACACTTTATAAGCGACCCCAAACCATCTACCGCCGTCGGCGGCGTCCGCAGTCTTCTCTCTATCTTTAAAAGAAAGGACTTGGCGGGCTGCAGCGCGACGCTCAACCGAATAAGCCACGGACGCGACGCTGATAGTCCCCCTCCCCCTTCGCTCGCTCCTCCGCTCTCCTCGCTTGCTGCAGCTGCGCGCGCACCTCTCTCTCTCGCGCGCCCGCCTTCTCTCTCAATCTCCCGTCGAGAGCGGGTCGTGCGATGGATGTCCCGGAGGCAACGCTACCATCAACAACGAATGCAGTACAACCGAATGCCAGCACTGCACCCGTCGTTGGAGGTGACAGTACCGCGGTGGTTTCGCCGATGTTGGGAGACAAGGCGGTGCTGCGAAGGGCTCGTGAGACCGAACGTAAGCGAGCGAAGCGTGCAGCGGATGCCGAACTGCGTGCTCGCGAGGCCGAGTGCAAGCGGGCGAAGCGTGCAGCGGATGCGGAACTTCGCGCTCGCGAGGCCGAGGACAAGCGGGCGAAGCGTGCAGCGGATGGTGAACTGCGCGCTCGCGAGGCCGAGGACAAGCGGGCGAAGCGTGCAGCGGATGGTGAACTGCGCGCTCGCGAGGCCGAGATGAGGCGTCAGCATCGAGCCGCGAACGCGGCCCAAGAAGCGGAACGACAACGCAAGCGTCAGGCGGAGAAGGGCGATGAAGGCCGGCGTCAAGACGCCGCTCGCAATCGTCAACGGCGAGTGGACGTTCCCGAAGCCGTTCGAGCCAGTGAACGTGCCGTGCGGGAGAGGGTGCGAGCCCTGGACTTTGCTCGTCCGGACGCGCGTTTCAAACGCGACTTTGTGGATCGCAGCTTCGGTCACAGCTGCGCCGTGTGTGACCGGCTGTGGTTCGATAACAACCTGAGCTGCATTTCCGGCGTGAGGAACGAGACCAACAGGTTGAACGCGTTGCGGGTTCTTTGGAACGAGTTCGGAAGACGGTCGGGCGAACACCGATGTGACGACATGGATGCGCAAGACCCTCATAACATCACCCCGTGCATTCACACTTAACCATGTTCACCCTCGGGGAAATGCTTGGGTTTTTCTTTTAAAGATAGAGAGAAGACTGCGGACGCCGCCGACAGCGGTGGATGGTTTGGGGTCGCTTATAAAGTGTATTCACACTTAAAAAAAAAAAACTCAGACGCGGACAAGGAATTGTCCGCGTCTGTGTTTTGTTTGTTTCGTGCTAGTCTTATTTGAGCCATTAGTAGTCATTGTGCAAGTACAGCGAATATGACTGGAGGAATATTCACGGTAGCTATAGACGCTTTCACAAACACAAACTCTTGATGACTCTTGGTCTTGTTCACCGATGTGCCTGAATAGCATAGGCGGGTGAAAGGGTCTATAGCTACCGTGAATATTCCTCCAGTCATATTCGCTGTACTTGCACAATGACTACTAATGGCTCAGCACGAAACAAACAAAACACAGATGCGGACAATTGCTTGTGGGCATAGGTGGGCAAGAGGAGCGTTGAAAAATAGCCCTCTAATTTTCTACACTTTCCTTCCATTACTTGGCAAAATATATTCAAATACATATCCTTTTGAGCTACGTAGAAACCACAAGAGATTATCTTAAACATTACGCACGTTCTTTTTATCTGGAAAACTAATAAAAGACTTCCCTCACCTTTGAAAAAACGTGAAACCGTCCTTTCAGTTCCGACGTTACGAGCTGGTCAATGAGGTAACCGGAAGTTTTTTTGGGGGCACAACGCTTTCAATCTTGAAACCGTCTATGCGCACGCAACCATTTTGTGTGGTTGGCCAGTGAGCGAACACTGCTTGCGGACTCTAAGCGAAAAAAAAAAAAAAAACTGCAATTTCTCGAGTTCCGTAAATTTGAGCGCCTGACGTAAACAGACTGCAGAGCGGCCGACTATCAACGGTATAATGCTATTATTTTTTCGTATTTAACCTCCTGCGCACACAGCGACGTTTCCGGACGCTGGGCCTGGTTTTGTGACGCCTTACCTGGAGATGCACAGGCACCTGACCAGCCAAACTTTTTCGAACAACGAAACTGAGAACTTCACCACCGGTCACGCCAACGCCTTCTACTCGGCCGGCCAGAACAGCATGACGATTTTGGGCGGAATAGTGCAGCCGCCCATGTACTTTCCCGACGGAACGGCAGCTCTGAACTACGGAGGCCTGGGCCAGGTACGCCAAAAAGGGGTTAATCGTCGCCGTTTATCGACCGTTAAAGGGAGATAAACAATGACTTTGTTTATATTGGCAAACTACACTCTCTTGAGCTCTAATGACACATCTTTGACTGCCATAAGTTCATTATCAGCGGACAAAATCAATGTCGAATGTTCACTTTTAAATCTCGCGCCAAAATCTCCGCGCGTGACGTAACAGATCGCAGACTATATCTTTTGGCATTGTCGCGGCATCGGCTCGATGAAATCTTGCGCAACTTCGTATGCTAGTTCCACCACACCCACAGATGACAATGTACTTCCTTTATACCAAGTAAGAACCCAACCGACGCCTTCAAAACATACTACGTCACAGTGCTTGGTACGGAATTCTCACGATGACGTATCCCCACGCATTTTCTCACTTGCCAAGCATCATGTTGATTGGTTGATATGTGGGGTTTAACGTCCCAAAACCACCATATGATTATGAGAGACGTCGTAGTGGAGGGCTCCGGAAATTTCCACCACCTGGGGTTCTTTAACGTGCACCCAAATCTGAGCACACGGGCCTACAACATTTCCGCCTCCATCGCAAATGCAGCCGCCGCAGCCGGGATTCAAACCCGCGCCCTGCGGGTCAGCAGCCGAGTACCTTAGCCACTAGACCACTGCGGCGGGGCGCCAAGCATCATGTCGCGGTAAAAGTTGTGTTTTCAGGATTGTGAAATTGTTCTTCACTAATGTGCGAAAAATTGTTTTGATCATTAGTGTCCCTTCAAAGGCCCTTTTTAGGGTTACATGAAGAAAAAGCCAGCAAAAGCACGAGACAAGACGCACACACCTTTAAGTAACGAGAATCAGCTGGTCCCCAGATACAAACTCTTTCGTCTTTTCAAGGGATTGCAAGGGAGGGAGTTGGTGAACAACAGCGTCAATAATAGCATGGTGATTATTACACGACGGTAAAAAAAGACTGGCCTTGTAAAAAGGCCGTTTGAAATAAAATTAAAAACAAAGAGAGTGCAACACGTCGAACAAATGCTATCAATGCTGTTGCAAAAGGTGAGCACTGGTGGTATAGATGAAATAACACCGTAGTGGTGGCAAATGAAGGGGTAAAAAAGATGAGTATGCGCCTACATTTAAATTCGGTGCCACTCCCTCCCCCGTTGAAGGGGGAGCGCGACGCTGAGTCCACGAGCCACGCTGCCCCACGTACGTGAAGTCAGGCATTGACGCTGACATTCTTTCTTTGACGACTTTCGGTGTGTTTAAGTACACGTTGAAGTGTGGGTGACGAATATGACGGAAGAGACCACGTGTAGAATGTAATTTTTTTTAGCCGCTACGATGCTAGCGAATCAGAAAGCATATGATTTCAGGGGCGAAGCTCCTTGTGGCGTCTCCCGTTCACCTACCGGGATCGTTTGCAACCACCGGTGGCACATACCCAAGAGAGCGGTCCTTAGAATGTCCGCTGGATGGCGGCACTTGTATATGACGAATACACAGTTGAAAGATGTGAGATGGCGGTGCTTGAAGTGCTCACTAGATAGACGGACGGATTGATGGACATACAGATGAATGGGCGGACTGACGGACGCACGGACGGACGGACAGACAGACAGAGGGACGGCCGCAAGAACAGATGCAATGTCTGACACACGGATGGACGCATGGATGGACGAAAGCAAGACCGAATGGACGGACGGAGGCACGGACGGACTGACGAACGCTTCGCCCCACCAATCATCATTCACGCCGTGAATATGCTGTGATTTTTTCCCTCTACTTTCTCGCGTCCAGGTTAACGCTCATGATCGGACTGCCCCATGCACCGATAGCGACGTCGACAAGATGTCGCCGCTGAAAAAAAAAAAAAAATGGCAGCATATCCACGGGGTGAATGATGGAGAGTGGGGCAAAGCATCCGTCCGTCTATTCGTTCTTGCTTCCGTCCGTCCATGCGTCCGTCTGTGTGATCGTCCGTGAATCCATCTGCCCGTCCTTGCGCGCGTCTGTTCGTGCATCCACACGTCCATCTGTGTGTCCGTCCCTATGTTCGTCCATGCATCCGCCCCTGCGTCCGTCCATGCATCTGTCTCGTGTGTCCGTTCGTCCATCTAGTCAACACTCCAAGTACCACCATCTCGCAACTTTTCATCATATATTCCGCATATAAAAGCACCGCCATCCAGCGGACATTCCAAGGACTAAACGAGAGGTGGCACACGCACACTTTCTTACAGCTTGCGCTTCGTGTCTACTTCCCACCTTTAAGGATCTCGAGTATATGGTATATACTAGTTCACTGTATTCTTGGCACTGCGGCCCAACGCTCGCTAAACCTTTCTAAAACCAAGGAGGCTACACAAAGCGAGTATAATGTAGCAATCCTTTCTTGTCAGATAGTACTCAATGTACATGCCAATGGCTGCTAATGGGGAATGAGAAACAGGAGAATTCGGCTTTTAGTTAACGCGCACGCTGCGAATTTCCTATATTTCAACAACGCACAGGAGAAATCTCCCCCCGGCACCACCTTGCAGGTCAAAGCGTAAGACATGTTACGTACTACGACGAGGGACGAACGGGTGCCGTTTTAAAAAGCTTCACCCCTACCAAAAAAAAAAATAATCAGCTGAGCGTTAAGGTGGTGTGCCCACAGCGGTAAACGATGGCGCACGGGGGAAATCTCGCACAAGGCTCGTCAGTTTGGGACGTAACAGCTCTATAAGAACGGGTGCCACTTTAAGAAGCTTCACCCCTACAAAAAAAAAAAAAATCAGCTGAGCGTTAAGGTGGTGTGCCCACAGCGGTAAACGATGGCGCACGGGGGAAATCTCGCACAAGGCTCGTCAGTTTGGGACGTAACAGCTCTATAACAACGTTCATGACATTGCTGTCACGCAGGTACTTGATTATATTGTCACAAACAGGTTCTCTAGCTCATGGCGGGTGTTTCCGAAGCTATCTGAAGCTTTTGGTGCCTGCGCTGCATTGTCGGAGCACCGAAACAGAAATTTTGCACGTTGGTTTTTGTTGTTGTTTTAATAAGTAGCTTATGACTCACTCATCACAGCCGTGTACCTCATTTGCCAGAGTGCTGACGACTGTTTATTTAGAGATGCTTTTCAGAGTGCCCAGAGCAGCTTAGGTTTCAAATAGCACCAAGCGAGGCAGGATCAGTCCGGCGGACAGGTAAACACACTGCAGCTGCACACGTGACCACGCAAGACTGACGTGAACGCTAACACCGACAGTCAGCGCCCAGCTACCAACACTTCTAGAACACTGTAGCCCAGCCGGAACACGCAAAGCCGCGGGCACTTGCCAAGCAAACAGCCAACACAAGCTCGTGGCGTTGGTTTGTTTGCACTCCCGGCCGCTTTGATGTGGGCGTTGTGAGGGGCTCCGTATCTGGCGTGGCGCGCGCTTTAAAGTTGATATTTAATATGTTCTAGGCTACGCTTGTCCTTCATATTTCGCAGATGTGCATGTTTTAACGTAAGTCTATATGCACTGTCGTCTCACTTTCAAAATTTTGTGCCATCGATGCTTTAATTACACTGTCACTCACTGTATTCATCGGTGGTGCATGCAGGTCATCGGTCATGAGATAATGCACGCCTACGACATCGATGGTATCACGTACGACGATACGGCCCACAGCGTCAAGTTCGGCAATACTTCGACGATGAGGGAATACGAGCGCAAGGTGCTGTGCCTCCGCAGTTCGTACGAAGCGGTGAGTGGAGTCACTTTGAGGTTGCAGAGTTGCGCATAACTTTTCCTTGCGCCTCTCGCGCCGCTATTCGGTGAGCGCTGTCACGTGGTGCAAAATAACGTCAAATGTTCAAATCTACGTGGCGAAGCCAACTTTATGTGCGCGAGGGCACGGCTGCCTGCCAAAGACGGTGCCAGGGTTAGGGCACGGGGAGATTGGAGCACCCCCCCCCCCAATTTCGTTATATCCCTTCATTCGACACCATTTTAGCGCAATTAGACATGCTTATTGATATTTGGTGTTTGACGCAATACGAGTATTGATAGCACTCGTGTTGTAACAGACCACCCAAAAGATGGTCTGTTATCGTGTTCCATAAGACATACAAGGCTTTCCCTTTGATTATTAGAATGTGCACTGCAACAAAATGCGGGATTCACCTGGGCATTCCAAATGAGTTTTAAGCTAATTTTCTGCGCCACTTTTTTTTTTCGAACAGTGCAGCAGTTTGAATCATGGTTAAAGACGAATAAGAATTTGTCAGTGGGTGGCAGTGTACGAGACGACGGTGAGTTAAACAAGGTTTATGTACAGCATATATACAGAGGCGTTACAAATTCGACACTGGGGCCGACAGCTTAGAGACCCGAAGAGCCGAGCTCTCCTCTCTAACACATAGGTCTGCTCTCAAATGGGTCTGCTAACACATAGCTCAACTCTCTATCACATAGCTCTCTTCTCTGACACACATGTCTGCTCTCACATAGGTCAACTGCGACACACATGTCTGCTCTCACATAGGACTGCTGCCAAAGGGGTCTGCTCTCGACGCGCCACAGGGCTTCTTTTATATGTCCCGGGTCCAACCCAAATGTCCAACCAGAAGCGCTGCTGGTCGCGAGGTCAGAATCCTCCAATGAGGTCGCCGCTGGGCCGCGTCCTTCTTTCTCATCGAATCTGGAGAGGCTGCGCTGCAGGTGGCTGCACCCAAGGACGAGTGACGTCGCCGCGCATTGCATCAGCCGCCAGACAGGAAGACGCCGGTTGTTTACTCGACACGCACACGCAGTGATATTCTGTCGACAGCTGCCGATCAGCTGGCATCCTCGGCCAAAATGCATTCTGATTATCGACTTTATGTGCGTGAATTTTCCTTCAAACGCCCTTCAAGACTGCTATATCTTGCCTTCCGGCCAGGGAAGGAAAGATCGTGCTGATGCTGGAAGTAATCGCATCACGTTTCGTTGCAAATTACTGCGCAGATAAGCAAACTTTTGAGCTGTTGGATCGTAGCATGCATCTCAAAGCTATGATGGCGGAATCGGTCCACCGCTACACAAATTGTTCACGGCGTTGTTTTTGTTCGCGGACGCCATTATTTCTGAGCTCCTGCATTTCCGATGGAGGCGGAAATGTTGTAGGCCCGTGTGCTCAGATTTGGGTGCACATGAAAGAACCCCAGGCGGTCGAAATTTCCGGAGCCCTCCACTACGGCGTCCTCATAATTATATCGTGGTTTTGGGACGTTAAACCCCACGTATCAATCAATCAATCATTGTTAGAAGTAAAGAAGCACCATTCTACTGCCATTACTTTGCGGCCGGATTGGTTAGCGTCTTCTCGTTTTCGTTCCAATGGGTACCTTGTTTTGCAGCTCGTCGCGACGCGTCATGTGGAACCGTGCGCTCGGCTTGCGCGAGCGTGTACAGCGACAAGAGCTTGACCTCGAAACGCGTGGAGTAATAAGTTTTGTAGCGAACTTCTTGCATAGCTTTATTTCACGACATTGCACCTGACGTTTTAGGGGCAAAGCTCCTTATAGCGGCACCCGTTCGTCCCCCGTAGTATGTAACAAGTATAACATTCTGACTTCCAAGGTGGTGCTGGTGAGAGACTTCTTCTGTGCGTTGTTGAGCAATAAAAAATAGTGCTCAATGTACATGTCAATGGCTGATAATGGGGAATGAGAGACAGGAGCATTCGGCTTTTAGTTAACGCGCAGGCCGCGATCATCATTAGCAGCCATTGGCAAGTACATCGAGCACTATCTGACTGAAAAAGTTTGCTACGTCATAGTCGCTGGGCGTAACCTCCTTGGTTTTCGAAAGGTTTAGCGAGCGTTCGGCCGCAGTGCCATGAATACAGTGAACTAGTATATACCATGAACTCGAAGTGGTTAAAGGTAGGAAGTGGACCCGAAGCGCAAGCCGTAAGAAAGTGTGCGTGTGCCGCCTCTCGTTTAGTCCTTGGAATGTCCGCTGGATGGCGGTGCTTCTATATGGGGAATATATGATGAAAAGATGCGAGATGGTGGTACTTGGAGTGTTGAATAGATGGACGAACGGACACATAGACAGATGCATGGATGGACGCATGAACGGACCGCAGGGGCGGCTGCATGGACGAACGCAGGGACGGACGCACGAACAGACGCACGCACGGACGGGCTGATGGACGCAATGGACCGTTCACACTGACGGACGCATGGACGGGCGGAAGCAAGAACGAATTGACGGACGAATTCTTCGCCCCACTCTCCATCATTCACTCCGTGGATATGCTGCCATTTTTTTCCACATTTTTGCATATTCGCATATATAAAGCACCGTACTGCTAAAAAAAGTGGTGCTCTGGCCTGCACAATATTTTAGCGGTAAAGTTTATTTACTCCGGTTCTATACGAATCGGAGGATAAAAGAAGGCACTCAAAACGAAAATTTTCGTCTTTCTTGCGTCTTACGAAAGGCCAAGGCCTCACAAGCCTGGAACATATACTGGTAAGGCTGACATAGCCTGAACATATATACTGGTAAGGCTGACATAGCCTGAACATATACTGGTAAGCCTGACATAGCCTGAACATATACTGGTAAGCCCTATAGCATGTCGTGAATATGCGGCTGGGGTGCTAAGCTGCCGGCCCGAAAGTCACGGGTTCGATTCCTGCCGCGGATTTCGGTGGAGATGTAATAGTTTAGGCGCGTGTACTGTGTGGTATCGGTGCACGTTCAAGACCACCGAATGATGAAATTTTATGAGGCGTTCCACGACGGCGTTCTCTCATATTCACCGTGATTTCGGGACGTGAAACCTGAGATAGTATTTATTATTAAAACTAGCACGTTCATGGAAGCTAGTTTTGGTTCTTACGTCACAGCACGGTGCCGTGGGCTTCTCGTCACGAGCTCGTGCAAAATATCGTGTCATTTCCAAGGCCACTTCGCTACGGGACTCCGTTACTGGAGTATAACCATCGGCCTGCGCAGAGTTCCCCATTAAGGGTTGGGGGCGAGTGTTTATCATGGAGTCCCCTTCTCTACTAGGTCAATGTATGGGGGACATTTTGCACCCCCCTCTCAGTTCATTCCCACTTCCTCGACAAGCTTCGACACTTAGGAGGCGAGGTGTTTGAGGTTCGGAATGGGCACCCCTTGATGACTCGAGTGCATGGTGGCAGTGCTAAGGAAGAGCCGTTGTCCGGTGAAGAGTCATCTTCAGACATCTTCCCGAGTCCAAGCTCGAACTTCAGCTTTTTTTTTCCCACATCCAAACACGCTCTATTCAACCCTCGGTCAAATAAAGGGTCTTTCCTTCCCTCGCAGGCCGAAAGGAGAGCGAGGCAACTTAGCGAGGCCACCGACTCCGAAGGCTTCGCCGATTACTCGGGCATACAGTTGGCCTACGCGGCGTACCGCAGCCTGCCGGAGCGGGACGCGACGCTGCCAGACGTGAACCTGAGCGCCGAGCAGACCTTCTTCGTGGCGCACTGCCTCAAGTGGTGCGACCTGATCAAGAAGCGTAAGCCGGGGGGCCGCTACTGGCCCGGCAGGTCGCGCTGCATCGTGCCGCTGCAGAACATGCCCGAGTTCGCCCGCGCCTTCGGATGCAAGGCCGGGGATCTGATGAACCCCTCGAAGAGATGCGACTTCTGGTAGAGAACGCCACGATGTGCGTTCACCGCACGACTGCTATGCGTGCCTGCATTGCAGCTGCAGCGTACACGGTGCAATGATTGTCGGCTTTTATCGTTTATTACTACTTCCTATGCTTACTTCTCTTGTTAATATTACATGTTCATCGTATCGGCTCGTTTTGGGTTCCTGCTTCTTGGTCCTTTGTTTTGTATATGTCATGTATGCAATACTAATTGTTGTCTTTTCACGGCACGAAAACTTAGAATATGAAGGGTGTCTTATAGTGGGGAGCTCCGGCAGCTTTGAGCGTGGTGTGTTTCTGAAAGGGCCCGTAAGCCACTTCCAATGTTTTTTTTTTTTTTTTTCAAACTTTTCCAGTTAACGCGCGCATCGTGTGCAGAATGCCGTTGCGATCAACGATTCCGCACGTGGCAGCGCTACGAGCCGCCGGCGCACCACTCGTTCCATAAAACAATTCTCCCCTCCTTTCCCGGCCTTTCGGCCCTCCGCGAGACACGCCGTACCACTTCTCTGGCGCACCAAGTCAAATATGCTGTCGAGCAAGAGCCTACGACTTCCGGTCAGTCTGCAAGCAGCTGTCCGCGCTGCTTGTCGTTCCTCGTGTTGCCTGCGGTAGACAGGACCACCAACAGCGCAGCAGCAGCAAGTCCGGCTGGCGGGAGGCCGATGGGGCGGCACACTGAACGTCGTGTCGCGTCGTCGCATGCCAACTCGGTGAACATGTCGATTCGTACTGTTCAAACAAGTGCCTAACCGAAAAGTGCATGACGTCTCTTCCGTGCGGCGCAGCAGCCATTT